TCGTCTCCTTCCTAAAGATCCTCTGGTCTGGAGGAAGAAATCTTCTACCTCCAAACACACATTGAGAAGTCATGATTAAAGAAGGATTACCTGTGTAATAGTATTACGTGTAGTTAATAGGTAAAGTCCTATATCACTACCAAAACAAACGTGAAACTAATAAAATAAAGTTCTACACATTTTGTTAGTCATACCACCGTATTAGTATAATTAAGACTGTATGCCTTTAATAAGGGCAGTTCACTATTCTTGTCTGCCCACAAATCTTTCTCCTGGCTTGCCAGGTACTGAATCTCTTATAATTAACAGTACTCATTTGGAATGAGACACCATGTCTCCAAAAGACTCCTAAAATAGTAAAAATTCTGCCATTGTTGCTCATCAACATCTTTAAGTACAAACTGGTTTATCTACTATCTCAGCAGTCACTTAGAAAGCTCAAAGGGAACAGGACACTGAACAGGTATGTTCTGATGGGGCAGGTAAGGGCAGAAAAGTTCACTGAAGCCACAGAAGGTGTTGCACAACCTTGAAGGAGCAGCATTTACCATGGAGCACTCTCTCTACCTAGGATTTGTTTTCCCATAAAACATCAGAAAAGGTTATTGCCTTCTAATAAATATTAAATTATTAAATACATCATAAGTTTATTGAAAATTGTAAATAACTAGTCCCAGAACTATTTTTGCATAATTCAAACTATGCCCGCTTATTTAAAATCATTTCATATTATGTCGAGTTATGACACACACACAATAAGCTCTTCTCTAAGGCTGGTGTTGTCTTTCACAGATTTAGACTTTGCATAGTTACTTCTTGACATTCTCCAATCCAATTTAAATGCTACTCTAGAGTTTCCTAGTTTTATAGGAAAGCTTTGTACCTTACTTCTTACTTTTACTTTAGGGAATATTTTAAAGTTATGAATTGACTGTCAATTGTTTTCTAATTATTGTTTAAGATGAGAGGAGCCAGTGAATATTAGCTTTTTTAACTTTTTAAAATATATTTTATTGATTATGCTATTACAGTTGTCCCATTTCCCCTCCCTTAACTCTCCTCTACCCTGCACACCCCCTCCCACCCACATCCCCCCCTTCAGTTCATGTCCATGTGTCATAAGTTCTTTAACTTCTGTATTCCCCATACTATTCTTGCCCTCCCCCTGTCTATTTTCTACCTACCATCTACGCTACTTATTCTCCGTACCTTTTCCCCCTCTCTCTCCCTCCCACTCCCCTGTTGATAACCCTCCATGTTATCTCCCTTTCTGTGGTTCTGTTCCTGTTCTAGTTGTTTGCTTAGTTTGTTTTTGTTTTAGGGGTGGTTGTTAATAATTATGAGTTTGCTGTCATTTTACTATACATGTTTCTTGTCTTCTTTTTCTTAGATAAGTTCCTTTAACATTTCATATAATAAGGGCTTGATGATGATGAACTCCTTTAACTTGACCTTATCTGAGAAGCACTTTCTCTGCCCCTCCATTTTAAATGAAAGCTTTGCTGGATAGAACAATCTTAGATATAAGTCCTTGCCTTTCATGACTTGGAATACTTCTTTCCAGCCCCTTCTTGCCTGCAAGGTCTCTTTTGAGAAACCAGCTGACAGTCTGATGGGAACTCCTTTGTAGGTAACTGTCTCCTTGTCTCTTGCTGCTTCTAGGATACTCTCCTTCATTTTAATTTTGGGTAATGTAATTATGATGTGCCTTGGTGTGTTCCTCCTTGGGTCCAACTTCTTTGGGACTCTCTGAGCTTCCTGGACTTTCTGGCAGTCTATTTCCTTTGCCAGATTGGGAAAGTTCTCCTTTATTATTTGTTCAAATAACTTTTCCACTTGTTGTGCTTCCTCTTCCTCTTCTGGTACTCCTATAATTCAGATGTTGGAACATTTAAAGGTGTCCTGGAGGTTCTTAGGCCTCTCCTTATTTTTCTGAATTCTAATTTCTTCATTCTTCTCTGTTTGGTTGTTTGAGTCCCAGTTTCTTTCCCATCACTATTGGTTCCCTGTGCATTTTCCTTTATTTCACTTAGTGTAGCCTTCATTTTTTCATCTAATTTGTGACCAAATTCAACCAATTCTGTGAGCATCCTGATCACCAGCTTTGAACTGTGCATCTAATAGGCTGGCTCTTTTTGTCACTTAGTTGTATTTTTTCTGGAGCTTTGATCCTTCCTTCATTTGGACCTTTTTTTTTTTTTTTGTCTCGACGCACCTGTTATGTATGAGGAGCGGGGCCTCAGGTGTTCACCAGGGCGGGGCAACCCAGTTGCTGGGTTTTGATGCTGTATGTGGGCATGGGGTCCAAGAGGGAACAATGGCGCTTGCTCCACTCTCTGTTGGATTTCAGTCCTTTCCACGCTTCCCCCAAGCAAACTGGGTTTTTCTGGTGCCAATTCCCATGTGGATGGGCTTGTGCACATTCTGGGACCCTGTGGCTCCCTCCAACCAACTCTCCTGTGAGGCTGGGAGTGTCTCCCGAAACCTCAACCCCCACAGGTGTTTCCTATGGGTGTTTTGAGGCTTTATTTCCCCACACTGGGACCCTGGGTTGTGCGGTCTGCTTTGCTCCCCAGTTTCACCTGGTTTATCTGCACACGAATGTGGGACTGCCCAGTTGGTCAGCGGCCTTGTGCACTGTGCCCCTCCACAATACGCCACCTTGCTGGGTTTGCCTGTTGCCACCCTGCACCCAGGGTCTGCCAGCCACTGCTTTTTTGGCCACGACCCCTCTCCGCTCAGCAGCCCGACTCTGCCCCTCCTAACAGTCTGGATGAATGTGTCTATTTTAACTCCTTGGTTGCCAGACTTCCATGCAGTTCAATTTTCTGTCAGTACTGGTTATTTTTTTGTTTCTAAATGGTCATTGTCCTTATTTTGGTTGTGTGAGGAGGCACAGGGTGTCTACCTATGCCTCCATCTTGGCTAGGAGTCTGAATATTAACTTTTATAAGCCATTTTATTTTGCATGTAGCCTTTCAGTTCCTTTTGATTCTCCCAAGAATACAATCACATGACATACAAATTCTACCTTCTCCATGCATATATTTTCATATTGCATTCTTTTGTGTATTTACACTAGCTAGTACACTCTCAGTGGTAAATATCATAGGGATACTGGGCATCTTTGCTGTGTTCCTGACTGTAAGAGAAATGCCTCTATTTTTCACCATATGGTAACTTTCAGTTTGAGCAATTACAGATAACATTAAGAATCCAACTAGTTTTATTTCTTAAAGCATTTTAAACATCAGAAATAAAAGAAAAATTTTGTCAATCACTTGTTAGTATTTGACATGATAATGTTTTTCTCCTGTGACCTGTTAAGATGAACCATTCTTTCATTCTCAGATAAATGCCAATGGTGTCTATTCTTCTTAACATTATTCATTTTCAAAATCACTTGGACTGACTTGCATACTTATTTTTTCAGAAGAAACAAAAAGGACAGTTTTTAAGAGCAAGCCAGTGGAATTAAAAGTTTCCCCTCACTGTAAGCATATACAACCTGGGTTGATCTGAACAGAAAACTAGGAAATAATCATTTACCTAACAAGAATTACCTTAATCAGGGGTTCAGTTTTGAAATAACAGGTTACCTCTAGCACAAGTAAATAATTGTTTGCAGAGAAATTACTAAATATTGGGGAAATAGAATAAAAAGCAGACCAATGAAAATGAAGCATAAAACAAAACAAAAATGAATGACTAGCAGAATTGCTATTGCTATACCTCAAAAATTATAAGAAAACAAAACTGAGTTTAAGCCCACATTTTAAGATATGCATCTACTGCATAAAGCTAAGTACCTACACATTAATTATAATGAAAATTTAATACTTACAAGCAACAGGTTGTCATAGATATATGAGTGATCTGCACTTTGACTCCATGATGCACTTTTTTTTTAACATTTTAAATGTAATCTAAAAGATTAAGGTGCAACCAGAATCTATGACAATCGTGTTTAATTTCTTAGTCAACATTTTGTTCTTTGTGATCCTCAAAATGATAAAGTCAGTTGAAAACTGGTGCTATCTCAACTTTCAGGGTTATACAAATAGCTTTATCTCCCTGCCTTTAACTTGAATCCTCTTAAAAAAAATACTGTTACTACTTTATAGGTTTAAAAATAAACTCAATTCAAATTTAATTTAGACTTAAGGAATTTGAGAACTTTAGGATTTACTGTAAGATGATCAGAGATAGCCAGGGAGTTGCAAACTAGAGGCTGGGATATAAGTGTGGATGCAAGAATCCATGCCGGTACACAAGCACTGGAGTCCCTGGGCTTTACCCAGTCAGTAAATGAAATAATTTTAAGGCTGATGGATCCTCAAGTGACCTTATCCAGAAGAGTAAAACATGCACTTATTACAGTGTTTCTCGGTTGGAGCTGTCAGCATAACAGAAGCCACTGGTGTTCTCTGTCCCCATTTCTTCTCTTCTCACCCAGCTCTCCCAGAAAATGAAAAAATGGACACAGACTATCATGCCCATCACATCATGTCCTGTTTTTTTGCTTATCTCTTCATCATAAATGACAACAATGGACCAGTTACAATTATTCTCAACAGAACCCTGGATCAACAAATGTAGAACAGGAGATCCTACCATGACAAAACCAAATATAAAGGAAATAGCTAGCAGAGTCCTTTGAAGTGAGGGAATGGTTCTATGGCAGGGAATTAAAACTAGCAAACTGACCCACTGTCTCAAGAAGGAAGAAGGAAGAGGAGGAGGAAGAGAAGGAGGAGGATGGGAGAGGAAGAAGGGGGAAGAGAGGAAAAAAATAATATTTCCATAAACATGAATGTCTCTGGTCGCCATATTCAATCAACAACTTCAAAATAATTCTGCTAATCCATTAAGTCTCTTTAGCTCTTTTAAAAATGCTTAAAATAAAAAAAGAACAAAATCAACAGCACTTAGACTATTTTAATTTCATTATTAGTGGAATCAATGAGGGCCCTCAACTTATAACCTCAACGTGGACTCACCTTTCCCACAGCTGCTTGAAAGGCCTGTTTAATTCTCTTACACGAATCAGGTATTAATCTTGTGTCTGGACTCTCCAGACTTGTGTCTTGCAAATCTGCATTTTCATGGAGTTTTAAAATTCTATTAATGCAGTGAGTGTCATCTTCTGATATTCTATTAGGGTCCATCTAAGAAACAAAAATTTAAGGACATTAGAGTGTTTAACATTAATCTTTCTTCTATTTAATAAAATGTGCCTTAAGAACAAAACATATGTGTATTTTTGCAAGAGTCTTCATGTCCTCAACAATTAATAGTTAATACAATTACCCTCAAATTGGTAAAAACACTGGATTCTAAATTATTTTTATGAGTAGCTAACTACCATCCTCAACACAAGCATACACATGGATTCATGGTGAAATTGTCAAACTCATCTGACAAGGTAGAAGTCCTCATAGGGGATGGGGCATCAAGGAAAGCACATTTGGCCAGTGCAGGGGGAGAAAATTTTTGTCTTTAAATCATACGCAGCATGTTGGATAGGATTATGAAGCCCACTCAGATATTCCAAGCACAAAGCTTATATAAACCAAGGTAAGTTAACATCCTATTTAGCCACCATGTTTGTCTGACCTCTTTCCTAAAATAATGTATATTTTAATCAGCCAAACAGAGTAACAGAAATCCATTTCCTAGTCCCAAAGAAAACCTGAAGCCAGAGATAATTTGCCTTTTTATTGAACCTCTTATCAGTGTTTCTCAACCTGGAGAGGCACAGCTATCGGGGGCGCCTGGGCATGTGTATAAGTGAGATGGTGTCGCTTGGGATGAGAAGGGCTGCATCGGGTCAAGCAAACTATATGGATATGTATTGAGGGAACCTTAAAATTCATGTAAGGTGAGGTATCGTCCCACCCAAAATATCCCCACCGGGTTACTAGCTGGCCATCTGTTTGAACCAGGTGCCAGCAAAAGCATTTAGTATCACTTGTTTCTTAGAATCCTCTGCCTACTCCTTCCAGGGCTCTGACACGCCTCTGTAGTGGCTTCAACTGCCAAGTAAGGGTAGAAATAATTAGCTATTAATTGGTTTAATTATAATAGTTTAATTTGTTTCCTTTTTATCTCAAAAATTCAAGGTACTTCCTGTACATTTACTTATTAGTAGATACAGACTAGACAAAAAAAATAAAAAGGAAAAATTATATAAGTTTGCAGTAACCAAAGCTCAGCCAATAATACCAAGTCTCTATTCCCAGGTTTAATTATTGTTTTTAAAAGTAATCAGAAAGGTGTTCAAATTTATTAAAGAACTATCAGATATAAACTGGGAAGTATCTTATCCATATCTGAAATTCTCAAGATGGAATGACAGCTTTTCAACAAATGTGCATCCACTAATATAAATTTTATTATTCTAGTCTTGCAAAATATAAGTATTATCTATAATCACAGGAAAGATATCACTTATAAAGCAAAAGTTCTTGCAATCCATATTTACTTTTATATTCTGTTTAAAATAATTATTATGAATCAATATTTGAGTTTTTATATCATGTAATTTCCATTACATGATATAAAGCCCCAGGCTTCACATGCTTTAAAAAAAAAAACCACTCACTTATGCCAATAAGTTTCCCACAAAAGCAGAGAAGCCTGGGCAACTGATATGAGGGTCATTGAGTTCAGACCTCAGGAAAGAAGATTCACTCAAGGGCCTTGGTGGCTACCACCAGAAAAACACTGAGCTAAGGAACAATATGGTGTCAATGGGGAAATGCCTGGGGACCCTAAAGCAGGTTCAGCTCAAGTCTTGCCAACAAGCTAAGCATCATTCTAACGGAAAGAGCAGTCCCCAGTACTCCCACTACTGAAAGTGCAGCCCAAACACCTGCAGCATTAGTGGCCCAGGGGGGGAGCTTGTTAGAAATGAATGCAGAATCATAGCTCCCCGCCCCCACTCACTGCCTGGAAATCTACATTCTTACTAGATCCCAGGTGATTCTGATGCTCATTAAAGTTTACAAGTAATGCTTTTAAATGTCAAATATACAAATATAGATTTCTGATTTAAAGTGACTTCAAGTTTCCTTGGACGCCAATTTTAAAATGTTTTAACAAGTAACACCAATTAGTACCAAAATATGCAGAACTTAATAATGGTTAATGATTTGATGCAAAGATCTATAATGCAAAGATTTTGTCCTCTCTCTCGGGGGGAAAAAAGACCATTTCCAGAATCTCCCTTCCAATTTAATCAACATCCCTAAGGGAAAGGGCAAACTGAATCCCACTACAGGTGTTGCAAATGTGCAGTTGATACCTTTTGACCTGGCATTTCCACTGCTGGGATTATACCCTAAGAATCCTGAATCACCAATTCAAAAGAATCTATGCACCCCAATATTCATAGCAGCACAATTTACAATAAGTAGCCAAGTGCTAGAAACAGCCTAAGTGCTCATCAGTAAATGAGTGGATCAAAAAACTGTGGTGTATTTACACAATGGAATGCTACACAGCAGAAAGAAAGAAGGAGCTCCTACCCTTTTGGACAGCATGGATGGAACTGGAGAGCATTATGCTAAGTGAAATAAGCCAGGCAGTGAGGGACAAATACCACATGATCTCACCTATAAGTGGAACCTAATCAACAAAACAAACAAGCAAGCAAGATATAACCAGAGACATTGAAATAAAGAAGAAACTGACAGTAACCAGAGGAGAGGGGAGAGGGTATAACCAGCAAAAGGGGAAGGGTCATCAAGGAACATGTATAAAGGACACATGGACAAAGCTCAAGGTGGGAGTATTATTGAGGATGGGAGGTGAGAGTGGGTAAGGTGGGGAGGAGTGGTGCGAGGGATATGAAGACAACTGTACTCGAACAATAATAAAAAAAGTTTAATTTTAAAATGTGCAGTGTATAATCACTGTTTCAGAATGTATCTCCTACCCCACAACCTATCTCCTAACAAAGGAGTCTGGCCCTGGCTGACGTAGCTCAGTGGACTGAGCGCGGGCTGAGAACCAAAGTGTCGCAGGTTCGATTCCCAGTCAGGGCACATGCCTGGGTTGCAGGCCATGATCCCCAGCAACCGCACATTGATGTTTCCTCTCTCTCTCTCTCTCTCTCTTTCTCCCTCCCTTCCCTCTCTAAAAAATAAATTAATTAAAAAAAAATAAAAATAAAGGAGTCTGGACAGAGAATCCACATGACTAAAAAATGATACTTTTTGGTCTATTTTAGTCACTAATTATATAATTCACATGGTACAGATTACCAGTGGATATCTTTCTAGTGTTGCAAAGCATTTGAAAAGCTTTTTCAGTAAATTAAACAAGCCAGCTACTGGGCTAGATGCTGCAAATTAGGTAATGAACAAAACAGACAATCCTTCCCTCATTGAACTTACACTCAACAGAGAAACACAGAAATTAATAAAAAAAATCACTGTAAGCTTAGTTACAAATGAATTCATTGTACTTAGAAATGTCTGAAAAGATTAAATAAATCTTGACTATTTGATTTAAAATGGACGCTTTTAATGCATTTATCAAATGATGTAGTTCATGTGAAATAAACCCAGTTGTTTCAAAAAAAAAAAGAATGAAAAACAAAACAAAACTTCCCTGAAATTTAATCAGTTGTAGGGTTAAATGAGGCAGGATGCTTGACATTTGTGCTACTTCCTTATCTGTTTCTACACACAGGCAGCCTGCACACCTCTGCATCAGATTTGCAGTAGTGACTGCTCTCCTGTTTGGGTAGCAAGCAGCCAGAGTCAGTGTACACACTGCGGGGTTGGGGGAGGGAGTTAAAAGGGCAACAGAGATTGAGTTTTCTGAAAAGCTTATCTCCAAACTTTGAATATAGTTGTAGGGATGTTTTAAAAGTGTGCATACATTTTACAAACAACTTTCTGAAAAAAATTTTTTTTGTAAACCAAAGTATGAATACTATGTAGTAAGTATATAGCACAAGCCACATGCTATTTTTTTTCTTTGGCAAGGTTGGTGGTGGAAAAGCCAATCTACACTGGATCTAGTACCCTTTTTTCTTAATCTAAGCACTGCGATCTGCAAACATTAAGGAGGCTGACTCATTTTTAACTATTCAAATATAAAATGAGAAGAAAAAATTTTAAATCTCTAATTCTTGTACTATTCTGTGCATTCTTCTAAATGCATTTAAAGCTAAATTAAACTGTTTTTGTTAAAGATTTGTATGGCTTCCCCTGTATCACTTTAAACAAAAACAATAAAACTGGCCCCTTTTTCTAGTAAACTGCAATGTTACCTGATACTAGATGATTTCATTCTAATTCAGACATATTCAGAAACCCCAAGTATAATAGTTGAGCCACAACTTCAGCAGAAGTCAAAAAACTATCTCTTATTCAGTACCAAGTTCTAATCCAATAGAGTGGAGGAAAGTTAAAATGTTAAATTAGTGACGGGTCAAATTGAATTTATTATCTTAGCCAGAACTTTGAAAGAAGGCCTCCAGCACATCTAAAACTGTGTATGTGGAGTGAACTCGCACATACACATCGTGAGCTTCGACAGTGGCCCAGGCAAGACCAACCTTGTCTCATCTCTAATAACCACTTCCCTTCCCTCACCCTCTCCACCATTATTCGGAAACAAAATCCAGACTTTATAGCATCTCATTGATAACTACTTCAAAACATATCCCTAAATCATTAGGCCTGTTCCAAGTATCAAATTTAGATATCATTTTTAATAAAATGCAACCAGATCTAGTGGTATATTCCTATGAACACATCACTCCTGATATTACTTCTTTGCTGAAGGAGATGACCTTTTACAAGTACAGCACAAAACTGGACTCAGAGTAATGGCAAATATACAGGGTTCAGCAAGAAGCAATGCCTGCTTGAGTGTGGTTGGTAGAGTAATAATATGGGTATAAAAATTTACAATTTTAATTCGAATATCTCACTTGAAATGTCACAGTTCACACTCATACTTGAGTGTGATGTTATTCTGTTATAGAATTACATGCTTATGATTTTGTAATAAAAGATGTTGTAATAAAAGGGGCATTATTTGTGCTGGACCCTGTATTTTGCATATCTTAGAAAAACCCAATCTTCATGTCATTTAGGAAAATTGTCCCCAGAAATATCATGACATTACATTCTCTAAATAAAACTTCTCCAGTGAGGCTGACTAGCATGTCCACTTTGGGAAAAGGGTTGTGGGAGTCTCACTGCTATCCGTGTGACATCGAGACTGCTCAGTTACGGCAGGTATCAGAAGGCCATACCCCTCATTAACATTGAGAATTTCTACAAAGAAGCTGAGCAGCTGTAATAAGGGCCCAGCAGGTCACTCCTTCCTATGTGGCCACATTGATTTCCATGGCTCCTGCCACTGTAAGCTGCTCCTGGTCCCTAGAGCTCATTTATTCCCTACTGCTCTTTCAATGCTGAACACTCACTTCACTATTGCTATATGAGATGTCCTATCCAAAGGTGTTAGGAAAGATAACAGGTAGCAAACTAGTTCATCTTCTGGCCCTCTTCTGAATGTTGCTGTCTTGTTTGACTAAGAATTTTAAGTATTTTTTTGCAGGGTTTTCCATTAGCTGGCACCATGCCATGAACAAGTCAGTTTAGACTGTATGTTGAAGAAATGATTCTTAACTCATATTCCATAGTACTTAGTAGTGCCATGTGCAGTGCAGACACTTAATACACAAGCTTGAAATGGGTAAAAAACAGCATGCTGGCTGGGAAAACCGATAAGCCACTCATTCTCCAAGGCAGTGTACTCCAATGGAAGAAAAACATTTCATCACTTTCAAATGGGTTTGTGTTGTAAGTAAACCACTCAAAGTTTGTCTTAGAAAAATATGTCTCAATAGATTATTTTTATTACTATGTAAATACAATTTTTCTAAAGTACTGGTCATATTACTTCTACCCTGTTTTAAGCAGATAATGAAACCAGGTCTACAAATCGCAAACTAGTGCATAATGAAAACATAACAAAAAGCCTATGATACCAAGTAATGCAGTTCAAGACTCTGGCACATGTCAAAAACCCTTACAACCCAGGCAATGCCATGTGTTGATGCATCTAGTTAGGTTTAGTAATCACCTTTGAATCTGAAAACCAGTGAAGTCCAAACTCGACTCTCTTTCCCCATAAAAAAAAAAAAATGCACAGTCAGCCCTCCACTTCCTCTGAGAAAAGAGTTCACTGCACCAGACAAGAATATTTGAATGAATCCAACCAACTGCACTGCAATTTCCAAGAAAACACAAGAGCATAAACCACCAGAAAGCATAATATTACAAATTTACTCCTTCCTTTCTATCTCTCTGCAGTTCCCAAGCTGCCTGCCTTCTTGTAAAAGGTTGGTCATTTGCTAGATGGTATCGAGGCTGTGTCAGGGCAGAGAACCTCACAGTTGCATACACTTTGCTTCCTTCCTCTACGCACCTTAGTGGGAAGGCATGAGGGTCCTTCCCTCTTTTTTCAACCCGCCCAAGCGGAGCTGCGGTTGCAAGACCAGCCTTTTCTGGTCGCGTTACCATTCGGCCCTCCTGGAGACTTGGGCATCATCACCCGGGACTCCAGCAGCTGCTGTCTGGACTAGTACTGCGGCCTGGAGCATGCCTACAATGCAGCCAGCCTCAGACACCCAAACCCTCTCGTGGGCAGGAAAAGAAAGAAAGGCTCGATGCTGAAGTGAAGCCGCTCATTTTTTTTCCTAAGTGGACATACATTAATTCTTAGTTCCCAGTAAGAAAAGGATGGGGAGAAAGTATGCAATCCCCAGAAGAAGTGAGCGGCCAATGCTGTCTCGCCGGGGGAAATTCAAACGCACAACGCCAGGAGAGTCCAGCCTCCGCACTCTGGGAGGCCTGCGCAGAGACCCACAGCCAGCGCGTCAGTCCCCGCACCAGATTGTCCCGCGTACGCTCCCTCTTTAGAATCACTTTTCTCTCCTGAATATGCAAGATCTGGAAAGCCGATCCGGGAGGCTAGACTCAGTTTCCCACCAGTGGGGGAGAAAGAAATAAGGTGGGAGCGCCCCACCCGCGCATCCCTGGGGAGATCAGCACTCACCTGTGCTCGGAAGTAGAGGAAAAGTGCAACGCTGCAGACGACCTGGCCCAGTCCCAACCCCAAGAAGGCCACGAACATGAAGCGGGAGGTGGCTGCGGGAGGCTGCGGCACCGGTGGGGTGGGTGGAGGTGGGGTGTGCAGGGGGCCCTCATGAGGGGAGCTGGAGCCACCGCCGCCCATCTCTTCCGAACCACGCAGGTACTTAGTGTAGTCTCGGCTGGCGCGGCGCATGGCGCTCCACCCGCTCTCCCCGGCGCTGCACCACCTTCTCGCTTCTTCCGCTGCAGACCTGCCAACTCCAAAGGCAGCCCGCGCTGGGCCAGGCGGGCCTCGACGTGGGGCGCTCAGAGCCAGGCGCAGCTCCTGGGCGATCCGCCGAGCGGGCAGGGCTCCCGGCCGCCCCAACTCTTATAAACCGCTTGGAGAGGGCTGGCCTCGGGAGCCAATCAGCCCTGGGCGAAGCTGCGTCTTCCACTCCCACCTCTGGCTTCCCTTCTTCCTTTCGCCCTCCTTTCTTACTCTCTTCTCTCAAAGGTCTCCTCCCCATTGGGCCCTCAAGAGGAGGAGGCTGTGGGTTGTTCCAGCGGTTACAGACAAAACTTGTCCATCCTCAGATGTCTTTTTGGAAGTCCGAGAGACGGGCCAGGAGATATACAAATGCACGTCTTGGTTAAGGATAAAGGTGACATCAGACATTCCTCAGGCAATTTGCATTTCTGAACCTCAGTCTTCCGTATAGGATTTAGAAAGTTGGACTTGGTGGCCTCTGAGAGCCCATCCTGTCCCTCTCTCCTCGTTCCTCTCACCCATGGGGGAAAAAAATCAGAAAGGACCACCCTCAGGTATCCTGGGAAGGCAGTGTCTATCATGGTTCCAAATATAGGTACTTAATTAGTATTTTGGCAGACTTAGAAAACCAGAAACCCCCTTTTCAAATGCCTATTTCTGCACCCTAAAAGTGATTTTGAGCAATGCAGGTTTTGAATGTGGCAGCAGAGAGCCTATAGGTACCAACTCTGACTTCATTAAAAAAAAAAAAGATACAGAGAGAGGGGTAGGACCCGTTAGCTTCATATCAATATATAGAATCATATATTACATTCTTTCACAGTTCACCACATGCCACCTCTGCTGCTTGGCAGTTATTTTCCCTCAGAGCCCTAAAGATAAGAGAGGGTCACGTGGCCTGTAGGCAGCCCCAAGGACTCACCTAACTGTCAATCAAGAAAGAGGGATGTTACACAAAGTTGGTGGAGAAGTTAAATGTTAGTTTCATTGCTGAAGAAAATTGTCCAGGTCTTTTTAAAGGCCTCTATTCAGAATTGTGCCCCTCAGTGGGAATGTGAAAATATGAACATTGCTCACAAATTCTCATACATTGTCAGGAAGTAAGGGAGGTTCTGGCCAGTTTAAACACCTATAAAAACTTAGGATGTTCCAATTTTCATTAATGCTTTTTAATGGTGTGTCCTCTTTCTGCATAGTTCTCTAATGGGCACTTCTATAAGCAAGATTTATCACATTAGCACATCTCTACGTTATCAAAGCTGCTTACCACAACTGAGCACTTAGAACTCAGCACACATTGCGAAAGAACAGCCAGGCTGAATAAAAGAGCACCCGTGTGAAATAAATTACTTGTCCAAATTCAGAAGTGCTTTTAACATTTATATTCAAACTCCAATATAGAAATAATTCTACTCCTTGCAATCCTGGGTGTTTTTTTACTCTGTTCATTTTGGTAAGTAGGGATTTTTTTCCTCCTCTTCTTGTCCTTCTTTTGGGAAACATTTCTGTAGTTCAGAGTTTTTCTAAACCTTTATAAGAATCAAAGATTTTGTTATAACAACTAACCCAAAATGACTTTACTGCAGCCCATGACACCTTGTCCCAATGTTTTGTCATGGTTTTATTCCTTGATCTCTTGATACTCAGATTGCAAGAAGTTTCCTCAGATGTCCAAATCATGTGCAGGTATGTTTGAGCCAGTAGCTTCATGTATGGGACCCCATATTACATTTCTACAGACTTCTTCATGTGACACTCCTACTGCTTAGCAGTGATTTTTCCTGTATTACCCAAAAGATGCCATCCCATTGCATTCCTGTACCCATAGGCTAGCTTGGAAATTCCACTTTCAGCCTATTTGTTGCTCCTTCAAAGGTAATAAAACCTTTCTGCCTGTTTATTTACATACTCATTTGTCAACATTCTATACTCCCAAATTAATATGTAAACCCCATATTTTCAAGGTCTTTATTTGTACTACTCAACACTCTATGCCTATTTCTTAGATTGTTGCCTGGTACACAGTAAGTGCACAGTAGACATGTGTTGAATAAGAGTGACTGAGCAGCCCACAGAGCCTCTGCCCCTGCCCAGTGGGAGCCACACTGCTCACCTGGTCGCATCCCCTACCCAGTCCCACTACCTCCAGTCTCGTTTGCCCCTGAACCCGTTTGCGCACACGGATTAGGGTTTCCTTTTTAAAGCAAAGAGATCTATCATTTCCCTATTTTCAGTCTTTCAATGAACTCTAAGTATAAAGTCTAACTTCTTGAGATAAAAACCTCACAATCCGACTCCAGGCTCCTTCTCTATATCAACTCCACACTCCAAATACCACCACAAGCTGTAGCACACTTCTCTCCCATCTCCCCATACCTGGGGGACTCTCCTACTGTCTTTTCTCTCAGCTCAAATGTCCCTTCTCCAGAAGTCCTCTGTTCCCCAAGCTTGGGTTGGCACCCTCTGTTTTATGCTTTTGTAGCACCCTTAACTTCTCCTATTATGACATGCATGCATTCATTCGTTCACTCTGCAGATACATTGGTGGTAACCCACTATAAACCAAGTGCTAGGCTGGACTCTAGAAACAGTGTAGTGGTCAAAATAGAACATGAGGTTTATACTCTAGTCGGGGGAGGCGATAAAAGCATGATGAACAAATCACCTAACAAATTATTAACTAAAACCATGATAACTGTTTAGAAGGCAAAGTGCAAGAACAATGAAAACATCTTGATAATAATGTGGTCTAACCTATTCTGGACAGTCAGAGAAGGCTTGTTTCTTGGGCAAAGATAATGATTAAAACTCTTCCCTGAGTAAAGCTATGCAAAGAGGAAGTGAACAGGGGACTACCTTAAACAGAGGATGATTGTGTTAGTGTAATTACTTGTTTGCCACATCTTCCCTGTTGGACTTGTATGTGAGTTCATTAATATTTTTATCATTATGTCAATTAATCAGTTAATTTGTGAGCAAAATCAAAATAATTAAGTCAAGGCCCTACTACACTGAAACATATTAAGAGATACCAAGACCAAGGACATAATTGAAGATTCAAGTTTATATCACTGCTCAGCTACAAACAACACCTAACTAGATTAATACTTCTCAAACTGAATTTTCTGGTACCCTGGCACATTAAAGCGGGATTCTTTTGGATACAAGTGACAATGTAGGAGTTCATATATCTGAAAATGTAGGGTTAGGTCTAGATTCAGGCATGGCTAGTACAGGCTTGAGTTCAAAAGTGCCTTTCCCTGAGCCTGAGGAGTGAGCTACCCCAATCTGAACCTCATGGGCTGACAGAAGGGAAGAAATAATTCCCAAAGGAAAATTAAAGTGCAGGATCCAAAAGATAAGGAGTTGATGCTATGTGGAAGGACAGGCAAAAATAAGAGCTATCCATTACTAGTAATTTTTCTAAGTCAGCAATGTCTGAACTCTGGCCTCAGGACTCCTCTATGGTCTTAAAAGTTAATGAGGACCCCAAAGAACTTGTGTTTATATGAGTTGTAATTGTAAATATTTGGCATATTAGAAATCTAAGCTAAGGGATTTTTAACCTATTGGCATGTTAACATAGTACAGTTTTGTTTTGTTTTTAAGTAGGGTTTTTTTTTTAGATTTTATTTATTTATTTTTAGAGAGGGAAGAGAGGGAGAAAGAGAGACAGAGAAACATCAATGTGTGGTTGCTGAGGGCTGTGGCCTGCAACCCAGGTATGTGGCCTGACTGGGAATCGAACCTGTGACACTTTGGTTCACAGCCTGCGCTCAATCCACTGAGCTACACCAGCCAGGGCTTAACATAGTACAGTTTAAAAAAAACACTTTTTTAAAGTAGAGAGAAAAGTGACACTGTTTTACATTTTTGAAAATTTCTTTAATATCTGGCTTAATAGATTCTCATATCCACCTCTGTATTTAATGTTATAATATTGCATATTATGCAGCCTCTGTAGCACCCCACTGTACACTCCTAAAATAATGAGAATGAAAAAGAGAAGCGATTTCTCAGTGTTATGAAATGCTTTGACTTCACAGAACCCCTGTGAGGATCTCAGAGACTCTTAGGCATCCCCAGACACACTGTGAAAATGGCTATTCCAGCTGACATTCACTTAATAAAAGGGGTGATCCCATGGTCAGATCAGTGTGGAAAATACTGTTAAGCAACCTTAGTTGTTTTATGTTTAATGCAGATCTTATCAGTGGCATTAATGTATAAATATGTATTGTAAACCTACTAAAAAGAAATTTGGCATTCACTGTTTTCTGAAATTATTTATCTTTTGGGGGTGTCAGGAGGTGCAGTTAAGCAACAAGATTTGGTAAAAACTATATGAGAGACACCTGTAGGCCACAAGTGGACAGTACAACACAGATGGCCTAAGTGTCAGTAAAATAATCAATAACTGGGGGACATATGAGGAATGAAGGACAGGAAGAGGAGAGACAAGAGATAAGACCATGGAGAACACTGAAGAATGTGGCAAATTGGAGAAATGCATTCAAATCAATTCTAAGCATCGTGTTTGGCCCCACAAAGCATTTCCAGACCTGCATTTTTAAGTCTTTGCTAGGGCTTCATGGAGCCCCCTTATTAAACACCACTAGTCAATCAGATTACTCTCAACCTCCTTAGCATGGCTTATAGAGTCTTCTGATTTCTACTTCCTTTGTTGCTTCATTTTTCCCCTACACTCTCATACTTTATGTCCCAGCAACACAAAACTACTTGCACCCTCCCATTTCTTACCTCTATACCTTTGACCATCCAGCCTCTTCCACTAAGATTACCCTTCTGTGACTCTTTCATCTAATCACTGGCTTACCTTCACTCAGTTAAGACCCCTAGTCCTTATGCTGCCTAGGTTGGGCTCCATGATTCTTTATTACACTCTGCTCATGTGCTGATCATAGCTGTGAAACTTCTTTTTCCAATCGTTAATTTACTTCTCTGTCTCACCTACTGGACTGTAAGCTCCCTGAGGGAAGTCATTATCTTTGT